TTACAGTTTCTGTTTTTATGAACCCCGGTGTTTATCAAATGCAACATGACTGTACCAATAACATCCACTTCTTGGCAGAAGTCTGAACATGTACAAGAGATTGGATAAACTTGAAACACGAGCAGTTAGGAATGAAGCAAGAGGGAACATGTTTCGTCAGTAATTACACAAAGTTTTGTGTCATAGTATTCTGGCAACCTGTAAAATTTCAATGATTTTGAGAACAGATGACTTTTTGCACCAACTGTATCTGAATGTCTCCATCTGGTCTTTGTGTTCAGACTCCACGGGGGCCAGCAGATTTTGCCAAGTCTACAGGTTTTAAATCTGATATCCCACATGACAAGCTCACCATTGCTCAAGCACGGAGGGGGACACCAGGTTGCACTTATCACCACCTTTTTAAAAAAAAATTCTGAATACACAGGGAAGATAATTCGGAAAAGAAAAGTTAACTCAAGATGTTTTGCTGTGCTGTAATTATCTGATATCAGTTATAAAAAAGTGATTTCATTATCAGCATTGTTACATAACTGCCAGTTATTTTGATGATTCAGGGTTTGATCACAGCTGTGAATCTGACTGAGTGACAAATCAGCAAAATAATGATTAACTAACAATTAAAAGCATCACTGTGTCATTAGAATTCCATATTTGTAACAGCAAAAATGTAAACTGCTCCAGTTTTGTGTCATGACATGACTGCATTTAAAGACCACCCTTCGTGTTTAGCTAACCGCCCCGTGAGAGTCTACGCTGATGGAATCTTTGATCTTTTCCATTCGGGACATGCTCGAGCTTTGATGCAGGCAAAGAATGTGTTCCCAAACACTCATCTTATAGTAGGAGGTAAAGTATGCCTTTCATTCACTCGCCACAGTAACGCATGCACAAAGTAACACTCTTTACTTCAGGGTCATGAAAATAGACACAGAAGGCCTCCAAAGAGTCACGTGTACACTGCAGTGAAAAAGCATTTGCCTCCTTTTTTCGCATATTTGTCACACTCACATGTTTCAGGTCATCAAAGTAATTTTAATATAAAACAAAGACAACTCGAATAAATATAAGTGCAGTTATTAAATGATGATTTTATTCAGTAAGTGAAAAACATTCTCCAAACCTTCCTGATTGTGTGTGAAAAATACTTCCCTTGTTAAAACGTAAAGTAAGTGTGACTAACTAGTGAAAAACTGAAGTATCAGTATGGAAAGATTTACAAAGCCATTTCTAAAGCTTTGGGACTTCAGTGAACCACTGTGAGAGCCATTATACACAAATAGAGAAAACTCAGAAAAGCAGTTGCTCTTCCTAGGAGTGTCCAGCATACCAAAATTACTCCAAAGTGAAGATTGACAACTCATCCAGGAAGTCACAAAAGACCCCAGAACAACATCTGGGGAAGTGCAGGGTCAAGGCTTAAGGTCAGAGTTCATGATTCAGCAATAAAAAAGAGACCTTGAGAGGGTAAATAAAACACTGCTGACCAAAAACAAAACAAAGGTTCATCTCACATTGTGATGATCCCCAAGACTTTTGGAGAAATATTCTGTGCACTGACAAAGGAAATCTTAAACTTTTTGGAAGGTCTGAGTCTTGTTACATCAGACATGAAACTAACAATTTCATAAAAAGAACATCAACACATGGTAGTGGTAGTGTGATGGTCTAGGGCTGCTTTGCTGCTTCAAGACCTACCTGGAAGACTTGAAGGAACCCTGAATTCTGCTCTCTGCTATCAGTTTCTGCTTCAGCTATCTGAAGGAGAATGTCCATCTATTAGTTTGTTTCCCGAAGCTCACTTAGGTTATGCAGTAGGACAGTGATCCGAAACAATCCAGCAAGTCCACGTCTGTACGGCTAAAAAAACCAAAATGGAGGTTTTGGAGTGACCTAGTCAAAGTTTGAACTTAAATCTGCTGTGGCGTAACGTTTAACGGGCCATTCATGGTAGAAAATCCTCCAGTGTGGCCAAATTCAAAAAATTCTGCAAAGAAGAGTGGACCCAAATTCCTCCACAGCGAAAGACAGATCTTAATGTTTCATTGATTCATTGTTTATGGAAAAATGACTTCTTCACACAGGGCCAGGTAAGGTCGGATAGTTTTTTACCATTAATAAACGAAAACATCATTTAAAAACTGCATTTTGTATTTACTCAGGTTAACTTGTCCAGTATTAAAATTAGTTTGATGATCTGAAACATGTCAGTGTGGCAAATATGGAAAAAAAGT